TTTGTGCCTTCAAGTCGTTGCCCATAGGAAGACGTTACAGAATATCTTCAGAACGGCTCCAAATGACACTAAACTCGTATGGGAGAGTAGAACATGATGGAATAACGGATAATCAAGGGACCAATGGAAAAAAACAGCGTTCCCCTTTAAGCTGCAGTAGATAACAGAATCTAGAAGCTATTTTATCCCTGATATCTGCCGCATTCAAAGGGTCACGTCTTCTTGTTTCCCGCGTTGAAGCGAAGCTCAGAGCAATTTAATCCAGAAGAAGCTTTATGTCACAAATGACATTTTAAAAAATAAGAATTATTTTTATGAAATAAAAAAAATATATATTGAAGCAAAATTTTTACTGTAATCCTTGTTAAAAACACATTTTTTGTCTTTTATATTTTGTTTTTCCTCAGTCATGACGTTAAATGTATATAAACTAATGTTCCTGTTTGCAGCTGAACAGGATAGAAACAAATCAAATAGAAACAGTTTGTTTTCATGCTTAAGTGGCTGCAGCTGCTTTTCCTTAACAGCCGTGACTAGATCGAGATCACCATCTACGAAGACAGAAGCTTCAGCAGATAAAAGCCGGTGAGTCCCGCCACAGAGCAGAGATCCGTTCCACTGGTGATGCGTGACGCTCACCAAGCTCAACATTTTCTCCCACATTTGTAACGTGGCTCAGGAAATAAAGAGGAGCAATAAAACAAGCTGTTCTCCCATTTCGCCCTCTGACCGTTGCTCCGAAGAAGCCGGCCTCCTACCCGCTCAAAGACGGTTAGGGGGTAATATTAATGAGCTGCTTCCTCACCAGGAAGCCGGTTTATGGAGCATTTCTACCCTCTAACTTTACATCATAGCGACGCCTTTTAGTCATGCTGAGGGGTTGATGTTTACAATAAATGATCATCTAGTGATGGATAATCTCTTAATGACATGTGAAGCTGTCCAGAGGGCTCCGGTCGTTAAGTAGCTGCCATTAATTAAACAGTTATCACCTTTTAAAAAGCGGCTCGCTCATTGGCCAGAACTACGATGACCTTTAGCTTTGTTTTTAAGTAACGTGGGGAAAAGAAACACAGCTTTGCTGTAAATAAAAAGATGTTTGAACTAAAAAGTTCAATGTTCAGAATCATTTGCATATTATTCAAAGTTTTTTGTTACGCTTAAAGCCAAAAACTTCAGTTTTTGATAGAATTTTTTGCAAAAGATTGATTATTAATAATTGCTTGTAAACTGATAAATGGATTTCAGCTCAATTTACAGATTAAAATATTCAGCAGCTTTGTTGGTTTACGCTCAGGGATGAAAGTAGAAGATAAGTTCTTGCCGGTACTCGATAGAAAACACTTATTGGCCTATATATGTCTATATATAGGTAGGTGTGTGATATAGATATATATAGTTAGAAGTGATAAATGGAGAAAACGTCTTTATGACAATACAGGAAAACATTGACTTCTTATTTGAATAGATAGAAGCAGGAATTATGATTGAAAAATAGTCAAAGATGATCTATGTGCCTTTTCATCTGCGGCTTTATTAAAAAATAAACGGTAAGCGACAAAATATTTATTCCCGATATAACTTAAGGATTCCTTTACAGCAAAAAAAATGTAAACCTAAATAAGACATTTTTTCTTAAAGTAGCTGCTATTTTTCTTGAATTGAGGTTAGTGAGACACTTTGCCAATGGAAGAAGGCAATTTACATTTAAAATTAGAAAAAATTGTCTTATTTAAAGTGCATATTATCTAATTATTTTATTTTAGGAGTAAAAATTGACAAACCATTTTATTTACCGACTCAAATTAGGGGTAAATACCCTTAATTTAAGACATTTCTAGATCATCTTGCAGTGTTGGTAAAAAAAAAAAAGGTTTTGCATCACCTCTTGAGATCGGGAACTAATAAAATTCCCAAAGGTCGACAAAATCACTTTTTGTACTTGGAAAGATGGGGTTTGTCAGCCACATGTGATTTATTAAGTAGCGAGGACCGAGTCTTCCGATCGATGAGCTGCTGAGCGCATCCGGGTGAACGCAAGTGCAGACAAGGATCTGAGCAGCGTAAAGATGGATTTCTGAGCACAGCTGGTGGAGCAGACTTTGCCAGACACATCAGACACGCATCGAGTGATTGTGTGTGAGATTTAAAACTCACCAATTCTATTCAGTTTATTTCTATAGCTCCAATTCACATCATGTCATTTCAGGTCACTTTCCAGTTCACCTGATCATCCAGTCAGATTGATTCAAATTTTT